CAAAGAAGTTCCCATAAGATTAGCAGCTGATTTCTCAAAAGAGACCTTATAGGCAAGAAGAAGCTGAAAAGAAGTATTCCAAGTCATGAAAGATAAGGACCTACATCCAAGATTGCTCTATCCAGCAAAGCTACTTGAGAATGGAAGGGCAGATAAAGGCCAAGTTAAAGGAGTTTATCATCACCAAACCCTTATTATATGAAATGTTAAAGGGACTTATCTAAGAAAAAGAAGATAAAACATGCATAGTAAAATGACAGCAAACTCACAGTTATTAACAACCATACCTAAAACAAAAACAAAAACTCAGCACACAACTAGAACAGGAACAGAACCACAGAAATGGAGATCACATGGAGGGTGAGCAGCAGGGGAGTGGGAGGAGGAGAGAGGAAGAAAAGGTACAGAGAATAAGTAGCATAGATGGTAGGTAGAAAATAGACCTACCTAGGAAGAGGATAAGAATAGTATGGGAAATGTAGAAGGTAAAGAACTCATAAGTATAACACATGGACATGAACTAAAGTGGGGGAATGTAGGTGGGAGAGGGTGTCCAGAGTGGAGGCAAGTGAAGGGGGAGGAAATGGGACAACTGTAATAGCATAATCAATAAACTATATTAAAAAATAAAAAAGAAGAGAAGTAATTAAAATAAAATATTAAGATAAATTCATAAAAAAAGAAACTTCAACAATGATCAAAACCCAATTACCTCCAGAGAACCAGCACAAGTGATATAAAGGGCATCCCAAGAGAATCAAGTTAAGGTGATACAGGAGACTGTACCACTAAATCTCACAGGCCTCCCACCATAGAAGTTTACACTACAAAGTCAGGAAGTCAAAAGAGATCAATTTAAGCAAAAGCATCAAACAACTGAGCAATAGCCAAAGAGAAGCCATATAACTTTGGAGAGACAGAACAATCAGCTTCAGCACAACCTGTCTGGTAAAGAGTATGGCAGAGACTCAAGAGGGCTGGCTGGGTACCCAGAGGCAACAGCACTGGAGAGAGAATTAAGCTGCCAGTTGGATCCCCCTGAGATGAATGGGGTCTAAACCCTAAGCTAGGATTCCTAGCCTAGAACACCAGAGCCCAAAAAGTACATAGATAACAAGTAGCAAAAAGCAGCAGGGTTGCTCTCTGCCAGAGATGGACAACTGGAGATGCAAATAGCTGTATAAATGACCAACACATATTTTCATTTGCAGCCACTTACCCTGGGCTCTGGCAAAGGTGGGGCAGAATGGGCTGGTGATGCCTGAGAAGAGACTAAGGACTGAGGCTTTGGGGAGAGAACTGAGAGAGTGGCTGCCAGGATCCCAGCGCTGAGTCATCCCCCAAATGGCAGCAACATCATGCTCAAGCAGACCACTCCCCTCTGAATGGCAGTAGTCTGAGGGGAAACAGTAGCCCAAGTCCAGGAAGGTCTCTGCCCTGGCCCTGTGGTGCCTAAGCCTGACTGCTGAGTGCAGAGTGACCAGATTAACAGCTGAAGGAGACAGCCAGAGACAGTAGATCCATGGCAAAGTGGGGACAGAGTGTACCAGAGAGACTTGAGGAAAGACTATGGATAGAGCAATTTATAGATCAATGTAATCCCAATTTTAATAAAAATACCAAAGACATATTTCATAGATATAGAAGAAACATTTCAAAAATTTGTATGAAAGCATTAATGAATCTGAATCACCGCAGCAATTTCAAGAAAGAAAAAAAAAGTAGGAGGGATCACCATACCTGACATTACAAGGCCATGGTAATCAAAACAGTCTGGTATTGGGATAAGAGCAGACATGCAGGTCAGTGGAATGGAAGAGAGAGCCCAGAAACAAACCCAAGTCTCTATGATCAATTAATATTCAACAAAGGGAGCAGAAGCATTAAATGAAGTAAAAAATAGCCTCTTCAGCAAATAGTGTTTGGAGATCTGGACAGCTACATGCAAAAAAAATGAAACTTGATCACCAACTTACACCGCACACAAAAATAACCTTAAGATGAATAAAAGACTTAAGTGTAAGTCATGATACCATAAAAGTCCTAGAGGAGAATATAGGTGGGAAAATCTCAGATATTCCATGCAGCACCATTTTCACTGATATGTCCCTTAGAGCAAGGGACATAAAGGAGAGAATAAGGAAATGGGATCTCATCAAAATAAAAAACTTCTGCACAGCTAAGGAAAACAGCATGAAAATGAAAAGACACCAAACTATATGGGACAACATATTTGCCAGTTATATCTCAGACAAGGGTTTGAGCTTCAAAATATATAAAGAACTCACATGACTCCACTCCAGGAAGACAAACAACCCAATTAAAAAATAGGCAAAGAACTCGAACAGACACTTTTCCAAGGAGGACATACAGAGGGCCCAGAGATACATGAAATGATGCTCAGCATCACTAGCCTTCAGAGAGATGCAAATTAAAACCACAATGAGATACCACTTCACACTGGTGAGAATGGCCATCATAAAGAAATGAATAAACAACAAGTGTTGGAGAACGTGTGGGGAAAAGGGGTCCTTAGTTCACTGTTGGTGGGATTGCAGACTGGTACAACCATTATGGAAAACAGTATGGAATTTCCTCAGAAAACTAAAAATGGAACTGTTCTTTTTATAAATATATTTTATTGACTATGCTATTACAGTTGTCCCATTTTTCTCCCTTCATTCTCCTCCACCCTGCACACCCTCTCCCACCCACATTCCCCCCCTTTAGTTCATGTCTATGTGTCATAAGTTCATCCTAGCATAGAGAAATAAAGCCTCAAAACACCAATTGAAAACACCTGTGGTGTTTGAGGTGCTGGGAGAGACTCCCAGCCTCACAGGAGAGTTCATTGGAGAGAACCACAGGGTCCTAGAACATACACAAGCCCACCCACCTGGGAATTTGCATTAGAAGGGTCCAGTTTTCTTGGAACTGCCTTTTGACCCAGGAATACCACTGCTGGAATTATACCTTAAGAATCCTGAAACACCAATTCAAAAGAACCTATACACTCCAATGTTCATAGCAGCACAATTTAAAATAGACAAGTGCTGGAAGCAACCTCAGTGCCCTTCAGTAAATGAGTGGGTCAGACAACAATGGTACATCTACACGGTGGAATACTATGCATCAGAGAGAAAGAAGGAGCTCCTATCTTTTGAGATAGCATGGATGGAACTGAAGAGTATCATAGCAAGTGAGGTAAGCCAGGCAGTGAAAGATAAATACCATATGATCTCACCTATAACTGGAACCTAATCAACAAAACAAACAAGCAAGCAAAATATAACCAGAGACACTGAAATAAAGAACAAACTGACAGTAACCAGAGGGGAGATGTGAAGCAGATAACATGGGAAAGAAGGGGAAGGGTCATCAAGGAACACATATAAAGGACACATAGACAAAGTAAAAGAGGATGGAGGGTGGGAGGGTGGGAGGTGGGGATGGGTGGCCAGGCGGCTGTGGTGGGGTGAAAATGGAGACAACTGTACTGAACAATTAAAAAATAAAATATAATGTAACATAGCTTAAAAAAGCAGTGGTACATATATACAATAGAATATTACTTATCCATAAAAATGAAATTTTACCATTTGTGACAACATATATGGATCTAGAGCATTTATGCTAAGTGAAATAAGACAGAGAAAGACAAAATCCATATAAATTTATTTATGTATGGAATCTAAAACACAAAATAAACAAGCAAACAAAGAAAAACAAACTCATAGATAGAATAAACTGATGGTTGACAGCTGGGAGGGGTGTTGTGGGCTAGGTAAAAATGTGAAGAGATTAGGAAATACAAATTGGCAGGTACAAAATAGTCATGGGGATGTAAAGTATAGCATAGAGAATATAATCAATAATATTGTAATAACTACGAATAGTGCTAGATGAGTGATAGACCTTTGGGGATTAACTTCATAAGTTACATAAGTGTTCATGCTGTACTCCTGAAAGTAATATAATATTAAATATCAATGGTAATTGAAAAAATATGTTTAAATAATTATATAATTATAATATAAAATCATCATTTATATTATAATTATATGTAATATAATCACTTACTGTATGATTATCATGCACAAACCTTTATATTTATTATTCCATTTTAGCTCACAACAACCCTGAACGTGTTACTATCACACACATTTTAAAGATGAGGAAACTGAAGCACAGATAGATAAAGGAACTCGGCCCAGGACACACAGCCAACAAGTAGTAGAATTAGGATTTGAACCAGGACTGTTCTCATAAGCCCAAATGCTTTACTATTTAGCTGTATCACTTCGCACACCAGATGGAAAAGTACTGTATACTTATGATGCCCAACACTTTGAAATATGCTGTCTGCTGCAAATTTAAGCTTGTCTTCAGAAATGACTCAAGTTTAAACAAATGAATTATTTGGCTACTTTGTATTTATTTTATGAGCCATAAGGTATTTAACCTGATTTCCCCCCATTAGGTCACCCTCACTACTGTACAAAGGTAGGCTAGGGACATAATCATCCTGAACCTTTGTTTCCTCATCTGTGAAGTGGTGAAAAAATGCTTATCTCACTGTATTGCTGTAGGATTTTAAATGAGGCCAAATCAGTGAAAGTCCAGTGCTTTACTCAATAAATGTGAGAAGCATCCCTCTGGGCAGGGAAATTGGTGCCATGGACTTCCCAGGATCCTCCTACCTCCATATTGAATCATATTCTTTTATGCCAGGAAGCACCTTACTGTATATCAGGGAGTGGGCTCCTGGGGCAGCCACCACGCACAAAGTTCCACCCCTGGTGATTTTTCTTTTACCTTCCCTTTGCTGGGAGGCAGCCCTCCCTAGGCTCCCAACTGCATGATCAGCAAACAGAGGACCACATTCTCAGATGAGAAGGAACAGTCCTTTAGTGCAGGCTTTGGAAAAGCTACATTGCCCTGCCAGAATCTTCTTTCCAGCTCTCATTCAAATCAGAAAAGGTTTAGCTTACTCTACTCACTTTTCTTCAATGATGGTCTGGCCATTGCTTCTGGTTTCTTCAATGATGAGTTTCTCTTCTTCAGGGAGTAAGACTTGTGGAACTGAATCTTTGCGAGCACCTACAAATAAGGGTTGCAAAAGGGTGGAGAGGGAAGAGTTACTAGTGAGGACTATTTATAGGTATTAGTTCCTTTCTTCTATTGTTATTGAAGGGTCTTTGTTAGTAGCACATTACAACCTTGCACCCAGAGAACAATCATGTAACATTTAATGACTAAATCTTCCTGACCTGACCAAATTCTAAATGACCAAATATATTGATTCAGTCTTGGGAAGGAGAGCATTTTGTACATAGAAAAATAATGCAAAAGATCACTGTGATACCTCCCCTAAATGAAGACCCCATTTTTTTCCTGTTTTGGCTCCTCCACAGCAAAAAGCTGACCAGTGATCATTCTGTCTGTGCTCAACTCCAGGGAATAGCACACCACATCCTATGCTATGACATTATATAATTTTAGTAAATTTAGAGCAACAGTGCATTGGGACACAACATGCTTAAAGAACTTCAGAAGTATCACTTATTCCCATTCATTCTCTACAGTCCAATAGGGTAGAGTAGGGTCATTTGAGACCATTTTGATCAAGGGAAGAGTCAGGGTTGGGAGATTTATCACTTCAGCAACCAAGATGCAGGCATCCTTATTTGTCTGTGCTCAGACTGTCTCCAGGATTTGGAATGGAACGGGTGACAGAACAGATAGAACACCGATTCAAATAGCTCTCCTGCACATTCTATTTCCCCCTCACTTCTGGATTCTTCATCCCAGAGCACAGCCCTTAATCTTAGTCTCCTTGAGCTCCTTGGTCTCCTTGGTTTTCTCTCTTCTAAGCCAAGCTTCTTTAAGTTGTGAATACTCACTGCTTTCACTTATCACCTTTCTGTTCCTGAGGTGGATGTGCCTCCACCTCATAGCACTTCACAGGTACTTAATAAATGGATAGTGCACTAACTGACTGACCAACAGACTGAATGCAGCAATAAATAATAACAATCAGTTCTAGGAAAACAGGACTTCTGGCTGAAGAAGGATAAAGGGTGGTAGATCACTGTGATGCTAAAAGGCTTACTTGTGCAAAGAACTGTGCTAGACATTATTTCACATGTAAAAGGTAGGCTGGGGAGGAGGGGCAAAACTGTGACTCTTTAGGTCAGAATACCTGCCTGCACCTCCAACTAGATTTACTGACTTTATTGATGTGAAGAGAGGTGATCAGAGAAGGAGACAAGGTCAGATTTTACATGAAGGATATTTCTTCTGGTGTCTCTTTGTCCCCCTCGCATTCCTAGTTTTCTCACTTCCCTTACTTGGCTCCTTGAATCTTGTTATCAGAGCTGGGCATGCCCAAAGCCACATTTTGTCTGTGAAACAGAAGTTGTGACAGTTTCCTCTTTATGGTCAAATGTGTCAACTTTCACATTGAAAGTTTTTCTCATGACAGTCTTATAGATAGTCACTTTGAAAGCATGTCAAGGCAGTCCACCTAAGTAATCTTCTCCCACATTCAAGTGATGAGTCAGTGGCTGTCCAAAATGGAGCATGATGGACAATTGATTTCTTACACAGATGGAAAATCACCACATAATGTATCTTGAAAATCTATAATAATGGAAGGCAAGACACATAATTGATGTGACCTGGCTTTTTAAAAAGCACAAAGGTGAATCAGAAAACATTATCTTGCTTTCAGTTTGTAGCCTGAAAGTCGTTCGGGGAAATACCCTCACCTAAAAGCTCCCTAATAAATTGTCTACATTTTGAACAGCCACTGTTAAGCAACTATATTTCCAGATTTTCAGAGCAACTTTGAAACTTGAGTTTAGTGAAGCACTGTTTGTTTAAATATGCAGCTGATCAAAGATAGTATTTTGACTTCCTTTTCTAAATCTGCCTATAAGAAGAGATTAGCATCAGTTCACAGACACAGGAACTCTCTGGGCTCTTTAATTCCTAACTTGTGTTGATGAAGGTATCTGTGTACTTCAAAGGAGAATGACTTTAAAAAATTTTTTTTCTTTTCTATCACCTCCAACTTTTTTACTCTTGCATCTCTCTTTCTCTCTGAGTGAGAAGAAACTGGTAAACAAACTGCTTGGTAGCTAAAACCACCTTATCTGAAAGATGTAGTCCTGCACTGTTCCTCTGTAAATCACCTGCTTTACACACCCTGCACCAGTTTGGGTTGCTTTTCTCTTCTACTAAGAGGCAGTGAGAATTAAAAAAAACATTACTTATTAGAGAAAGTAGTTTACAGGAACCTACTTGAGCCATGGCCTTGTTGAAAGTTTGCACTGGTACAGTAGGCTTCAATCACTTTAAGAATCTGAGCGTCCTCTTCCAGAGCAGCTGTACCTGTCAAATTTAATTAATAATTACTTTTCATATTAATATGTGCCTGTAGATCCTAAAGTGATGCAGTAAACTCCACTGCCAGGGACTGGCTCTTAGACCAGTGGTGTTTCTAAAAGGCAGGAGCAAAATCTGTCCAATTTTCATAATGAAATAAGAGTGACAGTATCAAGCTCTAGGGTCAGCATCAGTGAGTTCAGCCCTAAGAGTGGCATGCTCCTGAAGCCCATCAAGAGCTCTAAATTGGGGAATCCTGTCAGTCTCATCCTCAAGGCCACGGTTATAGCACTGGGCTTGATGCTATCCTCAATTCTCACCCAATACAACACATTTTTCCTTTTCTTAAAATTTCAAGGTTCACTTTCTCTAGGAAACTTTCCCCATAACCCTACCAATTTTTCAAATTAGCCAGCACAGTCACTGATCCCCCCCCCTCTTCTTTATCCCCCTCCAACTCATTCTTGAAATGACTGGAGGGCAGAACCCTGTTAATATGCTGATGTGTACACCCAAGTGTGGGGTGGTGTGTGCAGGATGCAGAAGCTAGAGTCAAGCATAGACTTATAGAGATTATATTTTTGACTGATACACACAGTTCTGTCACCTTTTGTGAGATATCACTTACTCTTCCACATGTTTTCCAAAGTACCTTGTTCCCAGCCATAGAGGGAAATAAGTATACATCAGATGGCTGACCAGCTTTACAGTTTGTGCCTAAATCAAGCCATGTTTCTACTTGATTGCTTGCGTAACTAAGAATATCATAGAGCCTTAAACTTCCATAAGGATTTCAACCTTCAGCTCTATTTAGTCTATCTCAGTAGAGGAAAATATCTGAGTCATCAGAAACTAAGAGGGAAAAAATGTATCTATAGCAAGTGTTCCCTGGTTTTAAACCAGGTGGGGCAAAATATTCAACATAAAAATCATACAAATTGTTTCTGCCTCAGATGCCATGAACTGTAGCAGGAGGCAGGCAGCTTAGTCAAAAACCTTAGAGGTGACCAAACATTTCTATGCATGTCATTATATAACAGATGATGCCAAGAACAAATTGCTCTAACCATCTGCTTTTTAAATATCTTTCTGTTGTTTAATCCACTACCAACTTTCAATAAGTACAAAATACATACTTTTCCGAATCACATATTCCTCTTCTGATGGCTTTCTTTCAGTCTTTCTTTTATGAAGAAACTTCTTCATAGTTTTGGGGCTTTTACTAGACTCCTATAAGAATAGAATTCTCTTTGTGAATTAAACTTCTGCTCCAAAAGCAAATTTAAAAGAGCAAATGAAATTAAATAGAATGGCTCTCTCTTATTTTGACAGTCTCAGGAGCTCATCAAAAATACATACTATACACAATAAAAAATGGCTTCAATAAACTCTAAAAGGTTAAATAAAACAGAAGCAGTGACACTGTCTTCACAATTGCCATAATGATGGGTATAAGAATGGACTGTGCCTACTAAAAATTCACCAGACTCTCCAGGAGGTCAAATGCCTTTAGGGTACCATATACAAAGTAATGGATATCAATGCTAGAGAAATAACAGTATTCATAACTTGGCCTATATTCCCCAATGATACAATTTTAAGGGAATTAAATAACAATTGTAACTACTACTATAGTATACATATCTTTTCAAGGAGCTTGAAAACTATTTAAATAAATTTTCCTGAGCAATAGTCCCACAACAAAGAATATCAATTTCTATTTGTCTAATGGGATAATTAAGGCAAAGAGATTTATGTAATTTCCCCATGGTAAGAGAGAAGAGCCAAATGAAGGACTTCTTTTTTTTATTAATTTTATTTAGTTATTTTTCAAGTACAGTTTTTTGTCTATTTTTCCCATCCCAGCCTCCCCCACCCCTTGCTCCCCACCTCCCTCCCATTTCCACCCCCCTTAGTTCTCGTCCCTGTGTGAAGGACTTCTTAATAATAATTTGGGGTTAGGAGTAATGTTCCTACAGCCAAGCTAAATATACATATTTAAAGTCATATTTTAATTAGTAGATAAAACTATGAATTACATTAATTATTTAACTTGCTTTGACCATGTGAATAAATCAACAGTCATGAAAAACTCACACGTGACAAAAATAATAGAAAAAATAGCTTTAAAATAGAGGGAAACAGTTTTAAGGCATTATAAAATAACATTTTCATATGTATTTCACAAGAGCCTGATTTTTTAAGAAAATACTTACATGTCATAATAACATCTTCATATTTTAGCCACCAATAATAACAAGGGAAAAAACAAATATAAAGGAAAGCTTCATTCATAAAAGTTTTCGGTACAACATTATGATGTCACTGTAAGGCAAAGATAGTGTTTCTACCCTTACCTTTAAGATATAAGACATCCTCTAAAGTGAATATGTAAAGAAAGAGAAGATGAGCGTGAGAGGTCGATGGCTACAATGACCAAATCCATTTATCAATAATTCTAAAACAATATTTGAAATGTTAGTGTTATCATAAATTATACAGAGATAATATCATCATGATTCCCACATTAGTTTTGGATGCAGTATCATCATGCAAAAGCCCAAGGAATACAGTTCTGTGTAGAATAACAAATGTTGAAAATAACTAAAATACACACTACACAGTAAGAACTTATTAATAACTTTCTTATCCTAGCAGGAAAAAAGTAATCATGCCTTAGTTTTAATGGATTAGTTCTGTCAAGGATTAAGTCAATTTTACCACTCAAAGCTCACCTGAATTTGAATTTAGTAACTGACAATTATGAAATATCCATCATGAAAAAGGAGACCTATACAACTATGAAGTAGCATTCCTGGTTTTGGTGATCAAAGGAAAAATTGGATGATTGCAAGTATCACAGGTTAATTTTCTTTCTTTTTTTCCATTTTTAAAAGTTTTTAAAACTTGGAAAAATCTAAGTAAAATTAAAAATGAGGCCTTAATAAAACTATTCTGTCTGAATAACATCATAGAGAATAGATTAAATTAAGAGGTTTCAAACTTCTAAGGGTAAAAAAGAGTAAAATGTTTACAAGTATGTCACAGGTCAATTTTCAAAGCAAATCTGTGGGACTCTTTGTTGGCTAAGAGTCAACAAAGAGTCCCACAGATTCTGCTCAAGGTACATAATGAAAATTCAGCTCAAGATTTATTTTTCCTATCATATTGGGTGAAAAGTATCAAAAAATCCTCTAGTGTCCAAATATTATTCCATTTTTACTACCCAAAGGGTTGAGGCAATAATTAATTGAAACAGTAGCATAGAGTTTTGAATAAGAACAGACTCAGAACTCAGGTAAGTCTGCATCATTCATTAAAACACACATTTGATAAACAAACATATGAGGCCTTTGCATTACAAGTCTGACATGGCTCACATCTGTCACAAACTTAAATCTTCACTCAGGAAAACCTATTTGAAGAACAGTTACTAATAAATGAGGATTTTTTTCTGAAAGCTGAAATGATGAGCAAAACATTGGGGGGGGGCAGAAACAAACAAACAAAAAACCCCTAACTATTTGGATGAAAAAGGTAATACTCCACACAATTACAGAAGCTAGTGACTGACATTTTTTGACTGCAGCTTCAAGAAGAAAAAAAAAAAAAGGCCTCGAAATCCCCACACTACCCAATATCAAATGTCCTCTAGGGTTGTTATTTAGAAGAATCTTCTTAAAAGATATCCCATTCATTACATTCCTTTTTCCTTTTCAACTGCAGCAAATAGTTCAGACTTTCATAGTTCAGACTCATTGCTTGTTCCCATAAGACTTTACTGATTGGTTTAATAGATCAAAATGATCTAAACAGCAGAATTGGGTTGGAAATTCACCTCTAATGAAGCACCTCTTGTTTGAGATGGGTGTATATCACTACCAATTTATAAATTAGAATATCATTATAAAGATAAACCAGAGGCACTTTAGGAAGAGGTCAAGGAAACTCAGTACACATAAACCCTGGTGATATTCAATAAATATTTGTAGATGAATAATGAATAAATGGAAAATTAAAAAATAAAAAATAAATGAGTCTACCCTGGCTAGTGTAGCTCAGTGGATTGAGCCCGGGCCTGTGAACCAGAGTATCGCGGTTCGATTCCCAGGCAGGGCACATGCCTGGGTTGCAGGCCAGTTCCCAGTGGGGGACACACGAGAGGCAACCATACATTGATATTTCTCTCCCTCTCTCCTCCCCTTCCCCTCTAGAAATCAAGGAATAAAGTCTTTAATAAATAAATAAATGAGTCTAGCAATTCAAGATACACTGACATGTATCACCTGTTATAAATTCTAACACATTCCCATAGACCTATTTGTAATAAGCTATAAAATTAGCTTGTTAGGAGCATTTTATACCATATAGAGCAAAATTACCTCTTTATAACCTAGTGCTGCTGATGGTCTAAGTGGAGGTGCAGGTCGTAGACAACTTAAACTCCATGGTTTTATAATTTGAGGAGGTTCCAATGGTCCTCGGGGCAGTCCAGTAGAACTAAAAGACTAGGAAAATGTCTGATGAGATGTTGGCAATCTGCCATCTGAACCCAACCTTGTTCCCTACAGTGAAAGAACATCAGTAGCTTCATTGGCTCAGCAAAGCCAGCCATACAAAGGTAAAGAAGACAAAACAAAGGTCTGCAGTTTGAGAACTGGCACTTTCCAGTCAAGATTATGAGGTCTCTAAGGAATAGCACTAAACAGACTCAACATTCCATAATCCTGCCCTTGCTCTCTCTTCTACATTTTATTAAAGTCAGGATTTTTTTCCTGTATAGTGGAAAAGAGTCAATATTTAATAAGTTCAGTTATGTGTTTGGCACTCTATTAAATGCTTAAATAGGTTATTTCATCAGAACAACTGAAGACAAATGGTAGCAAAGTGAAGTAACTAGCTAGTAATTGGCAAAGCTAGGATTTGAACCCAGATCTTATGGCAAATCCCTCATTCTTTCTACCACAGCACACAGTGCCCTGAAGTGGAATTTTGGTATCACAGGTTTGAGTGTTAACAGACAACACTGCATATCTTTGATCTCACTGAGCAAGTACAGTGAAATCTCATTAATCCAAATGCTGTGAATTGCTAAATTTATGATAACATGGAAGAAGGCAATGCTAAAAGTTTATCCATGAAAGTCACTGAGTGAATATAATAGTATAAATGAGATTATGTAGAGATGCTTAAATAGTTATGAAGGTAAACTATTGGTTTTGAATTAGCACATTATTAATATGACAATAACAGTTGCTAACTAAAATATATCTTGCTTATCATTAAAACATCTTAGTAGGACTTCTGGTAAGAAAAACTTTGCTAGCAGTTAGTTGATACTCCAAGTTATGGTCAAACTAAACTGCACGCCTTTAATTACAGCTTTGTATGAATGTCAATGAACCTTCCTCCAGAACAACAACAAAAGAAATTTGTGCCATGGCCATGTGGAGTTGGTTGGAGTGTTGTTCTGTGAACCAAAAGGTTGTCAGTCTGATTCTGGGTCAGGGCACATGCAGAGATTGTGGGTTTGCTCCCTGGTTGAAGGTGCATATGCATAGGAGGCAAGTGGTCAATGTTTCTCTCTCACACCAATGTTTGTCTTTTTCCCTTCCTCTCTCTGTCTCTAAAATCAATCAATATATAAAAATAAATAAAAGAGATCAGAATTAGTGAGGACTAACTCTACTTGAAAACTTATAGATATAGACTATGGCAAAGATTAAGGGCATGCTCACAGGTTCTAATAAGTCCTCAGGAGACAGGATTTGATGAGAGACTCAGTAATCCCTGGATAGAACAAATGGACTACTTACAGAATGAGCACTACAAGATGAAGATGATGTCTTGGATAATGAACTGCAGGAGGCCGGTCCTCTGATCAGTCTATACAGATGCTCCAGCCATTCCTGGAAGTCCTGGTTGTTGCTGCAGTGGACCACAATTCTCTCCAGTATGTGACCTGCATCACCCAATTATGAGCAACAATTATGGAAACAAAAGGCAAGGAGAACCTTGAGCTTGCCTCATTCATAATAACTTCATACAATTCAGACTTGGGTGTCTACATGTAGTTTCAGGAATTTTTATACTTGTGGGTAACCCTCTTAAAACCTCTATATCAAGAACAGATAGGCTGTGATAATAAATAAATAGTCATATCTAATTTATAAAACTGTTCTTAATTTCTACTACTTACAGAATCTTAGATATAGTATAAAACTTCACTTTAAACAAACTCACAATTCAAAAACTTAAGCATACAGTCCAATTTAGTTCATAGTATAAAATGAGAATATAGTATTGTTTCACCCAATATCAAAGTTGAAAGAAGATCCAACATCAAATTGTGGGGGCTCCCTACTGGGAAAGAAGTAAGTAAAGCCTGGGGCCATTATCCCATTGTTAGCCATTGGACCTTATCAGTGTAAACAGTACAACCATTAAATATAAACCACACCAGCCTGCCAAAAGTGAAAACAAGCCAAAATGTCAGGGAGCATTTTTGAGGCCTGGCATTTTCTCAATTTGTGAAAAAAGTTTATGACTTCTCAGCACTTTTTCAAAATATAATAAAATCTTGCTAATTCATAGGCTGATGATAAAATTACTGATAAAATTTCACACCTTTGGCTTCTCTGTCACAAGGGAACAGATGACAGAAAGGGGAGCAAATCCACATCAGTCTATTTTGTTATTTCTTAGCTGTAACAAGTAGTTTTTATGTAACAGAAAATTGAAACTAATGCCAAAGCTGAGGCTTTCAAATGACCAGGAAACTTCTTTATTCTACTGCTGTACCTGAATTATCCCAGGAAATAAAATATACTTTGCCATGCCCAAGTAAAACTTGATCATGGACTACATAACAGAAAATAATAGCATTTATTTATTTAAACCCCATTTCTATCCAAAAAGGAGTTGAAGCAGCTACATGAAAAAGAGAGATTTACCTACCTGTGATTTCAAATGTGTAGTCATTCCCTTCAATTTCATCTAATCTAGTCACCATCATTCCTCCTGTTGGTATTTTTCCCTACCAGAAAAAGAACATTTCCATTAATTCTGTGGTTGTTCATATCTGCTTATTTCTATTACATTTTCTGACCCTGTCAGGAATCACTGCCAAATTATGGCTAGACATATTTTTCTGGTCTATCAATAGATAATGTTTCCCTGCTTTAAATTTTAATCAGATAAGTAAGGGGGAAAAGTGGGTTGTGCTTTTTGCTAACACACTCTAAACCATAACGTCAAGACTTTCAAACAATTTATTTTTCTAACACATTTCCATGAAAATCAGTAAATAAAACTCAAATTTTATGAAAACTAGTAGCTGCTAGGCCAAGATATAAGAGGCAACAGTATTTATAATACTCCATATTTTGGGAGCAGAATGAAGGAACTTTAATTTCTTAAGGAGTTTTATGACTTGTATATCAGACACCAAATCATGTGATGTGACTGTAGGAGCAGGTACCAGTTTTATTTTTTTCAGCAATAATAATATAATATGGACCTGTAAAATTATGTTCCTAATTGATTTGGTTACAGATTTATATTTCTGTTTATATACTCATAACCTAGCTTATACCCAGAGCAGTGGACGTTCAGGATATACTCATTATAGTAATGCAAAGGTCTTTTATCTAAGGAACATATGTTCTTACACACTATCTAATTACAGTGAAAAGTCATAACATTCTGCATTTTCTGGCTAGAACTTTTAATAGTATAATAAAAATATTGCATCTAGATAGAAAGCTCTTTTCATTATGGGTCCTGCTATTTGTTTTATATGAAATCCACCAACCTGATAGATGAAGCCACTCATCCGAGGACTTGCAGATAACATTATCAAGACACTTGAAAATAACATGAGGTACCGCTCTTCTTTTTCCTGAAGGGGAATAAAAAATATTAAATTGAGAATAAAACCCTGGCTGGTGTGGCTCAGTGGATTGAGCACTGGCCTGAAAACCAGAGGGTTGCAGGTTCGATTCCCAGTCAGGGTTGGATTTGCCTGGACACATGCCTGGGTTGCAGGCCAGATCCCCAGTAGGGGGAGTGCAAGAGGCAAATCACACATTGATGTTTCTCTACCTCTCTTTCTCCCTCACTTCCCTTCTCTCTAAAATAAATAAATAAATAAAATCTTTTTTTAAGTATTTTTAAAAAGAGAATAGATATTGGACTTTTTGTTTGTTAAGAATTTCTGGAATCAGCCCTGGCTGGTGTAGCTCAGTGGATTGAGCGCGGGCCTGCGAACCAGACAATAGCGGTTCGAATCCCAGTCAGGGCACATACCGGAGTTGCAGGCTGGTTCCCTGCAGGCCAATTCCCAGCAGGGGACGCACAAAAGGCAACCATACATTGATGTTTCTCTCCCTCTCTCCTTCCCTTCCCCTCTAAAGATAAATAAATAAAATTTAAAAAAAAAGAATTTCTGGAATCAGTTTTTTTTTTAACATAGATCTTATATAAGGCAATGAAACATTAACAGTGATTTAAAAAATACCCAACTTAAAAGCACAAAACTAGTTGAGTTTTACTGAGAAATGTATATAAACCCAGTCTCATACCTAAGGGTTAAATACAAATAACTATGCTTTGTTTCCCAAGTATGTAAGCCTGAGAAGTCACACAGTTAATGCCTTCCTATATAAGCTGCAGCCACAGCACAAGTTAAGTAGGTTCACAAAAAGGAAAAGTGGCAAAATAAAAGTGTTTTCTAGTGATAGGAAATTAATTTTGTTCTATATGTATGTTAAATTTTATTTATAACATTACTTTTAATCAGTAACATGAGTACAATAACAAGATAGTTATTGTACTCATGTAAAGAAGCAAATACTTTTTTAAAAAATGGCACTACAGGAAATTTTATACAGAAGGGCTTCTCTGAATTTCTTAAACAGATATGCAATTAGTAGGTGCAAACAATTACATTCAGCTTACATGTCCAGCCATCATAGCTGCAATTATCCTATCTCCATCTCCTTCTTTCCACTTGAGCAGAGAAACCTTTTGAGGCTAACACTTCTAAAAAAGACTCTTCATCCTTTCACATCTTTTTGTTACTTGGCTTCCTTCTATATAGGCTTCTCATCTCTTCCTTCTTCTCCCAGCAGCTTCTCCTATTCAAGTAGCTTTTTCTTTTTGCTTTTAACATATGCACATCTCCTACCCTAACAGGCCTTCACTTGTTTCTCTGACTACTTATACAAAATACTATTTCTTGGCATTTATTGCCATATTACTTGCTGCCTTCATTTTCTCTCTATTGATCCCTCCATACTCACTTTGTTCTCTCAGTCATCAGTAACTGCCTTGTAGTGAAATCCAGTAGCTTTTCTTGGCCTCCATGCTCCTCGACCTCTGAATCTTTTGGAGCACTCAGCAGGCTGACCACTTTCAAATGCTCCTCCTAGAATTTCCGTGACACCACACTCCCCCAGTTTTCCTCTACTTTTCTCTGTCTTTTCTTTGTGGCACCATTTCTCCTTCCTTCACTGAAGAAGTTTATACAAGACTGTGAAAGTCTAATAGATAAACTCTCTACATTAACTTCCCCCCAGGGTAACTACATTTTAAATGGCATTTCTTATTTACCCAAAGTAATGAATCTCTGACAGAGACCTATCAGGGAGCATAGGAAGATGTTTTGAAAGGGGGAAGATGATTTTAACACTTGATAAATCATACCTGTTGATACAATCAACCTTCCTCCCCTACTCTACCCTCCCCCTTCCTCTTCCTACAATCCATCTTCAGCCCTCTGCTTCTCTCTGGAAATTTACTTCCTAGGAAGGCCCATCTGTCAGGGACATCTAAATCTCTTCCTCTAACTCTGACCTTCTACTCACATACCTACTGTTTTCACAGCTACCTAGATCTCCACTTGGATATATACAGTCACTTGAAAGTTAACATGTAAAATTACATTTGTCATGTCCTCTAGCCCATAGGTCACCACTTCCTATAGACTTTCCATTCTAAACATGTCTCACATTTGCTCCTTAAGTTTCATCCTCTCTGGCACTACCTTTGTTGGGGGTATTAATCACTTTCCAGTTCAGCTGCCCTTTCTGTTTCTATTTCCATCCCCTCCAGTTTACCTGACATATGCGGTTGTCAGATTAAACACTTCTTTCATTGTGTTTCTCTACTACTCAGGACTCATAGTTGTCTATTGCTTGCTTCATCAGTCTGAACCATGCTTGCCTAACATCCAAGGTTCTTCATAACCTGACCCTATCTGACTCCATCAATTTTCTCTTTTACTCTGCCTTACATGCTTCCTCTGCTTTTATCAGGCTGGCTTCCTCAATGTCATGCAGAAGAAAAGGCCACGTTCTTGTTCTCTTCTGAAATAATGACCTCTACCTTACAAAATTCTCGCCTTTTCTCTTCATGGCCTTTCTCCTCATGTCTTATCTCCATAAAATCTTCTTGCTGTCTTCCTTCTCTGAACTTCAGTAGAATCTACTGTTGAGATCACACAAACAGGCATTGACTATTTTGGTTTGTTTTCTACTTCTAGCTTATGTTTTAATCTGTTCTTAAGGGGTGCTTTGAAGGCAGGGACCATTGTGTGTTCTTTCTTCCTATCTCTAACAGCACATAGCAGTGCTGGAGAAAAATTAGGTGCTCAGTTTGTTTGAATGTTCAAGCACTTGACCTTGATGGAAACAAAAATAAAGGGCAAAAAATGTGAAAGATGGAAAAAATGGTGTTGAAATTTGAAACATCTTACCTCACATGTTCCATACTGCACCATTACTTGTGACATAAAAACCACATTTCCCAAGGTTTTAATATCCTCCCCTTCCCATGCCTGAATAGGTTCAGAAAGTATCTGCAACTCCAGCTGTTTTCTTTTTCTTAGATCTTGGCACTGTCCCTACAGAATCAAAACAAAGAAATAGGAATTCTTATGAAATTGACCTAAAAGAAGACCAAAGTAAGATGTGGCTTTTGACTCTCATAGACTTCCACTGAGTCCCTATTCCCCGTGAATACTATCACCAATATCTTGACAAACAGAAACATCCACTACTCTAAATCTTTAGCCTTGAGCCCCCAAAAGTTTTGTGAGAAAGAGCTACTTTTTATTTTACCAAAATGAAATAAAATGGTGGAAGGAACTTGTTTCTTCTTCCAAACAAGGAGTATGGGAAGAAAAGCAGCAGAATCACATTGAACAGAGCCAGAAGCTCAACTGGTAGATTTGAATCTTCTGGTTGGTGTGGTTGTTCTAGCTCCTCTCAATCATGTCTATCTGCATAAATATAGTGCTTTAGTTACAAAGCAATTTTCTTTTTCTAACATATCCTCAGTTTCCAATCAAGTAACATCTTAATTTTTTTAAAGTGACTCCAGAAATTATAGAAAAAGAGAAAATTTAATTATTTATACCATAGTGTATTAAATTGACCTTATAATAAAACATATGCACTGCCCTATACTTTGTTTAGGGACTAGAATTAAATGCTATTAAAATATTAAATTACTTTTTATTCCTAAAAGGAGTAGAAAAAAGAGATACAACTGAATTTCATGAATACAAATTGAAAATCCAAACCAAGAAACAATATGTGGCTATGAATACCATACACACACACACACACACACACACACACACACCACTGCTTCAGAAAGTGTGATGTTGTCTTAGAGTAATTTAACAGTATTAATTCCAAATTGAATTTGAAAGTAGCATATGGTTAGTTATGCTACTATTTCCTAATGAAAGTTATATTTTGGGGGATGTGTTTACTATAAAATCTATGCTGTCTCTTTCAGCTAAATGGAAACTTGATGAAATAAATTCATTGTACACACATACTTTGAAGCATCTATATGGCAAATAAATATACTACCACTATCAAATCTATTTTTACAGTATACATATACAATAACTAGATAGAAATATAGTTTTAAAAAAGAGGCATTTTAAAATTCAATTTACATAGAAAAATAAAAGGGACACAAATGATAATAAATGCCATGGGTTTCATGTGTTGAACCATGCAAAACTGCCAAAATTAGACTGTTTTTGACCTGTGACAGCAATTTTAACCTAATTCCTAACTCTAGTCTTCAATTTGCTGTGTAACCATAGACACATCATGTACTGATCTTTTTCAGCAGCAATAAAAATGAGATGATGGTGAATTGCATCACAACCTTACAGCAAAAATGAATAACTAAATAATGATCCAATCATTTGGAATGCTACAGAGCATTCCAAATGCCCAACTTAGTCAATTCAACTTAATCAATTTCCCAAAATAATGCTTTCTTTCTTCCTAAAAATGCAATAAAGTGGTTTTACATCAGTTGGTTCAAGAAGACATTAACTATCATTCTCAAGACAAAAGATTACAGGTACCTTTTATAGCAACCTATGTAAAGCAGTGTATTTTAGTAGATTTTTTCTTTTGTATGTGATGAAGGGTTTCTTTTTCACATGAAAGAATAAACTTACACCTTTTGGCATAGGTAAATGAATCCAATATTGATGTCAATCAGTGAATGACAAGTTGCACCAACATAAGGTGAGCAACACGGGGGTAAAGATAAAGAGACTAAAGGAAATCCCCCACCTACACAGCGATACTTAATGTGGCAGAGACTACAAATGTGAGTGTTTATATACCTTCAGCCTGGCAACCTTTCTTAGGTAAGCATGATTTTTGGAAGACAAAATTAAAAGAAACAATCACAACGATACCGTCACTAGAGCTTACTGTTTCCACTCTAAAGACCTTTGCATAAGAAAAGAAACATTACATACGAATTACTCTTTTAGGAACAAAGCATACAAAATAGAGAATTATAATTTTAGAGCATCACCTACCATGAGAGTTTTGAATGCTATGATTGCTTTCAGAATATCCTGATGATCTGGATGTGTATCCTATTAAAGGAATATATTTTAAAACAATATTAAAGGAGAGAAAATCAGTGGTGGCCAGAAGTTAGGGGTGGGAGGAGGGTATGGCTGCAAGGAGATAGAAAGACAAAATTTTGAAGGATGATGAAATGGTTCTGTATCTCAATTGTGGTGGTGGTAATATCTATACATGTGTTAAAAGTCATAGAACTGTGCACCAAAAGAAAAAAGTCCATTTTAATGTGTGCTAATTTAAAAATAAAAAATAAAACAGCATCTCAACACTTGGAATCTCAGCAATTTCAATTATTAAGTGATTAAGGGAGTGGAGGGATGGGGTAGGGGGAGCAATTGGGGGAAAAGGTGGGACAACTGTGACTGAACAACAACAAAAAATTAATTTCAAAAAAATAATATAAAATGACTACCAGCCAACATGGAGGTGTAGGTAGAGACACTGTGCCTCCTTGCACAACCAAATTTAAAGACAACAAAGTTTTAGCAACAAAAATGTAGCCAAAACACAGAAAATTGAACTATACAGAAGTCCTACAACAATGAACCGTTGGGCCAGACTGGTAAGAGGGGCGGAGCCAGCAGCAGAACAGGGTTGGGCAGGAAACATCCCCTGGACTGACCGAGGTGCACAGGCAGCCATTGGTGGATCCCAGGTGTGGGGTAGCAATGGGCGGACCCAGTGAGGGCGCAAGTCGGCAAGCTGACCACAGTCACACATTTTTGCGCAGATAAACCAGCAAAGGAGCGAGCAGTGAGACAGACCATACAGGCCCCAGTGGCGGGAAGCAGCAGAAGAGACCGCCATTACCCCTCTTTGACCCCACCCCCACATACAGTGTCACAACCCAGTGACTGAGTTGCCTCACCCTGGTGAACATCTAGGGCTCCACTCCTCATACCTAACAGGCACGAACAGACCAAAACATGGCTCAAGAAGAACTCAAAACCCCAGAGCCCATGACTCTAAGTGACCAAGAAATAGCCAGCCTATCAGATGCACAGTTCAAAACACTGGGGATCAGGATGCTCATAGAACTGATTGATTTTAGTCACAAATTAGAGGAACAAATGAAGGCTAAACTAATTGAAATGAAGGGAAATGCACAGGAAACCAATAGCAATGAAAAGGAAACTGGGACTCAAATCAAGGGAGTGGACCAGAAGAAAGAAAAAAATGACCAAACAGAAAAATATGAAGAAACAAGAATTCAAAAAATATGAGGAGAAGCTTAGGAACCTCCAGGACATCTTTAAACGATCCAACATCCAAATTATAGGGGTACCAGAAGGGGAAGAGAAAGAACAAGTGGAAAACTTATTTGAACAAATAATAAAGGAGAACTTTCCCAATCTGGCAAAGGCAATAGACTTCCAGGAAATCCAGGAAGCTCAGAGAGTCCCAAAGAAGTTGGACCCAAGGAACACACCAAGGCACATCATAATTATATTAGCCAAGATTAAAATGAAGGAGAGAATCCTAGAAGCAGCGAGAGATAAGGGGACACTCACCTACAAAGGAGTTCCCATCAGACTGTCAGCTGATTTCTCAAAAGAGACATTACAGGCAAGAAGGGGCTGGAAAGAGGTATTCCAAGTCATGAAATCCAAAGACCTACAACCAAGATTGCTCTCCCCAGCAAAGTTTTCATTTAGAATGGAAGGACAGATAAAGTGCTTCTCAGATAAGATCAAATTCAAGGAGTTCATTATCACCAACCCCTTATTATATGAAATGTTAAAGGGACTTATCTAAGAAAAAGAAGATAAAAAATATGAACAGTGAAAGGACAGCAAACTCACAGTTATTAAGAACCACACCTAAAACAAAAGCAAACTAAGAGGACAGCTAGATCAGGAGTGGAACCATAGAAATGGAGATCACATAGAGGGTTAGCAACAGGGGAGTGGGAGGAGAAGGGGGGAGAAGGCACAGAACATAAGTAGCATAGACGGTAGGTAGAAAATAGATAGGGGATGGGCAAGAATAGTAGGGGAAATATAGAATCTAAAGAACTCAAAACACATGGACATAAACTAAAGAGGGGGAATGGTAGGGGAGGGGGTGTTCAGGGTGGAGGGGAATGAAGGGGGGAAATAGAACAACTGTAATGGCATAATCAATAAAATATATTTTAAAATAATAATATGAAATAACATATAACCAAATTAAGACAGCTTGTAACACCTCATTATATTTGGTAATGACATACAAAGTGTGGTTATTGAGGCAAAAATTCCCATTTCTTTTTTGACTGCTAATAAGTAGTCATTATTTGGGGTCATCATTAAGTCACATTATTAGCACATGACAAGAGATAGGGAATTATGGAAACAGAGTGGTCTTTAGAGAAAAATCAATCCAATTTCATCTAAAATGACTCCATTTTCTTTCAGCAGACTCAAAAAGGCAAATGGGAACAATTACAGGTTTTATACCACATGCTCCTTCTTAAGCAAAGATTACATATGGTCTGCAATTCCATGGTACTTAGAATCCCCAAAAGTGGACAGGTCCAAAAATGGCTTTGAGAAATGCACATCTCCATAACTGTTTATGAAGAGAAAGTAGAGGTTCTTAGGGGTAGATGTACACCTATGTGGGGGTATATGAGTCATAGATATGTATCTAACCTTGGGGTGTATGTGTGCCCAACCTTTGGAATTCAGCTGGAGTGATAGAATGACAAAATTTGCTACTCAACCAGCTCTGGGCGATAGAATATAGACCTGCACAGACTAGAGGTCTGACCCAAGACAAGAATAGTATTGCTTATAAAAGGAAAGATTATATTCTTTTATAGTTAAATTTATCCTTACCCAAATAGGCTCTACTCTTCAATTAGCTAGCAGCCATGCTAAACAATTAGAAAGCTGGATCAAGTGTCTTGCAGGTGGCGAACTAGTGCTAAGGGTATGTATATCTGATGGTGGGAAATGGAAGGCAGCCAAAAGCAGGTGACCGACAACAAATGGAGGCAGAAGTAGAAATGGGGTCTGATATAAGGAAGGCCAATATAGAGGATCTAGGCAGTAGGAGCATTTGGGGAATTTTCTCCCAAATTAAGTGTATATTCATAGTTCAGCACTGAGCAGTAACAGAAACTGACCACTAGTTTCTGTTTTTTTGTGATAAGCAAGGAGGGGCAAACCTCAAACGGTTCATTGAACTGGTTTAGCTTTTAAAAAGGCATCCAGAGGTCAATACCTTCCTGAGCCCTAACTGAAATTTCATTCCAGCAGGCTTTACTCACTAGCTACCCACTGCCTCCAGCTTTTTGGCAGATCAGAAAACCTGAGAATATAGTTTTGTTCAGAGTATCTGCTTTCAATCCTTATAAATGCTGACAAAACCAGCTGTGTGCAACCATTTTCTTTAAAGATAATCAAACCTTATAAACCTCAAAACCTTTCCCCAGGCACAGGAAGAGCAAGTAGGGTAACTGCAGCCTCCCACAACCACACCTTAAGCCCCATGTTCGATCAGGCAAGTCTGGCTTAAGAAGGTATCCCTGTTACTTGGTTCTTAAAAAGAGGACCTGGGCTCTTGGTAAAAAACTCAATTATCAGGACTCATTGAAGTCTTAATATTTAGAAAACATTGTGGCTATGCTACAGGTGTGGCAAATTAATTGTAAGTTTATAAACAAAAATGTGAGGGGACCTTGATGTACATGTATTGATGCATAAAGAAATAAACTAATATTGGACCCATTTATTAATCTTTAAGGAAATACCAGAATCTCCCATTATAATCCAGAATCAGGCAGCTGAATGCCTACAGTGTTCTGGAAATAAATATTCCTATCTATATCCCACAATAAAGTATCAGATCAAAAGTTTTCTTGGACAATTTTGATTGAACCATCACCTACAGATAAAGATGAACCCCCATCCACAGATGCAGAAGAAAACCTAAGTCAACAAGTTAGCAGAGATTTGAGTGAAGCAACAGGATGAAAGCTAGGAGAAGAGGAGGAGGTAGAATGATCATGAATATTTAATAGTAAAGGGTGGGGATATTTCTGTTATAAGATGAATAAGTTCATGGTGATTATAGTTTGTAACATTGCATTGTATGCTTTTGCTAAGAGGTTAGATCTGAACTGTTCTCACTATAAAAAAGGTAACTGTGAGGTGATGGATGTGTTAATTAAGTTGATTGTGGTAATCATTCCACAATGTGTGTGGGTGTATAAAATCATCACATTACACACCTTAAAAATCATGTTGTATAACCTAATAGATACAATTTTTATTTATTTGTCATACTTCAATAAAGCTGGAAGAGATAAATAAAAATGCTTAAAAAGCAAAGAACCTTCAAAGGAAAGAAAAAAGAATGCCTCTTTCCTATTTTGCTTATTTCTTATTAAAAGAAAAAAAACTAAAGTCTGGGAAGAAGGAAGATTGGATGAAGTAAATTTGGAAACTAAGGCTTTTTCTGAATTCCCCAGCAAGGCTAGTCTGAAGGCAAACTGGCAGTTTCTTCCAAAAGTAGAGACCCATACTTTGTACACAAATACCATATAATCTCACCTATAAGAGGGAGCTAATGAACAAAAATAAACTAATGATCAAAACAGAACCAGAGGCATGGAAACATGAAACACTCTGACAACAACCAGAGGGAAGAAGAAAGGGAAATACTGGTGGAAAGGAGAAGGGACTAATCAAAGAACATGTATAAATAACCCATGGACATGACAACAGTATTGGGATGGACTGTGGGAGGGTAGAATGGGTAGAGGAGGACAAAGGAGGAAAAATTGGGATAACTGTAATAGAACAACAATAAAATATTTAAAAAATGTAAGTTAAGAAGAGGTAAATTTTGAGTCAGTGTAGGAAAACATTTTTAAAAATACATGGGCTGGGATGGGAGTAAAAGACAGAAAACTGTACTTGAACAACAATTAAATTTAAAAAATAAAAATAAACATAAATTAAAATACTTTTTTCATATATATATTTTTAATAATTTTATTTAGTTATTTTTCAAGTACAGTTTTTTGTCTATTTCTCCCATCCTGGCCCCCTCATATATTTTTTAAAAGCTCACTTTCTTTTACCTCCATATGCCGTTCCAACTCTTGCAAGAGCGTAACATACTTCTCCAGTCGCATGAATGGTTTGCTGAGGCTTGTCGTTAAAATAAGTATACCTGGGCTGGATGCACCTTGATTTTCCATAAATTGCTCCAGATCATCACTAGCAAAAGAACAAATACAGTTCTGTTACTGCTTAATATTCCATAAAAATATTAACTGAACATTATTTCAGTGTATTTCACACAACTTAAAACCAAGTAAAAATTTGCGTCACTAATCTAAATACTGTCCAATTCATTTTAACTCAATTCAATAAACCTTTATTCAGTTCCTCTATGCAAGTAGCATTGCATGCAGAGCTTGGGGCTACAATGGTGAGTCAAACATTTATTTACTCATCCAACAATTATTGCATCTACCAAGCAATAGGCTCCATTCTCTGCTGGGGACACTGCTATGAACAAAACAAAATTCCCTACCCTTAAGGATCCTGCACCTATGGGTATAGGGAATATAGTCTATCAGATCCTCTCAATGTCAGGTTTAAAAAATATTTTCTTTGACTTCCGCCAAGATAGAGGTGTAGGTGGAAACACCTTGCGTACGCGCACAACCAAATCTAAAAACAACAAAAACTTTAACAACAATAAACGCAACCAAACCACACAGAAAATTGACAATATGGAGTCCAAAGACAATGAAATGCTCAGCTAAACCGGTAAGAGGGGAGAAGCCAGCAGCGGAGCGTGTTGGCCAAAAAGATCCCCAACCAGGTGGTGCTCAAGCAGCCGAAGGCATGGATCCCAGGTGTGGGTTAGCTATGGGCAGACACAGGGAAGAGGCATGGCTGGCTGTCTGGAGTCGATTGAGCATTTGCGTGCAGATAAACCAGTGAAGAGGCGAGCATTGAGACCACCCGGCGCAGGGCGGTGGGCTCCCACATTTCCACTCAGATAAGGTGCGAGTGGTGGTACGGACTGGGCGAGCAGAGAGGATCTCCATTGCTCCCTCTCTCACCCCGCCCCCACATACAGTGTCACAAACCAGCAACCTGGGTGGCCCCACCCTGGTAAACAACTAAGGCTCCGCTCCTCATACTTACCGGGCGCGAACAGACCAAAAATGGCTCAAGAAGAACTCAGAGCCCCAGAGCCAATAAATCTAAGTGACGAAGAAATAGCAAAACTTTCAGATGCACAGTTCAAAACACTGGTGATCAGGATGCTCATAGAACTGGTTGATTTTAGTCACAAATTAGAGAAACATATGAAAGCTAAACTAATTGAAATGAATGGAAATGCACAGGAAACCAATAGTAATGGAAAGGAGACTGGAACTCATATCAAGGGAGTAGACAAGAAGGAAGGAAAAAATGACCAAACAGAAAAGAATGAAGAAACAAGAATTCAAAAAAATGAGGAGAGGCTTAGGAACCTCCAGGACATCTTTAAACGTTCCAACATTCGAATTATAGGGGTACCAGAGGGGAAGAGGAACAGTCACGAGTGGAAACCTTATTTGAACAAATAATAAAAGAGAACTTCCCCATTCTGGCAGAGGAAATAGATTTCCAGAAAATCCAAGAAGCTCAGAGAGTCCCAAAGAAGGTGGACCCAAGAAGGAACACACCAAGGCACATCATAATTACATTAGCCAAGATTAAAATGAAGGAGAAAATCCTAGAAGCAGCAAGAGCTAAGGGGACAGTCACCTACAAAGGACTTCCCATCAGACTGTCAGCAGATTTCCCAAAAGAGACCTTAAAGGCAAGAAGAGGCTGGAAAGAGGTATTCCAAGTCATGAAATCCAAAGACCTACAACCAAGATTGCTCTATCCAGCAAAGTTTTCATTTAGAATGAAAGGACAGATAAGGTGCTTCTCAGATAAGATCAAATTCATGGAGTTCATCATTACCAAGCCCTTATTATATGAAATGTTAAAGGGACTTACCTAAGAAAAAGCAGATAAAAAAGATGAATAGTGAAAGGACAGCAAACTCACAGTTATTAACAACCACACCTAAACCAAAAGCAAACTAAAAGGACAGCTAGATCAGGAGTGAAAACATAGAAATGAAGATCTCATGGAGGGTTAGCAACAGGGGAGTAGGAGAAGGAGAAGGGGGGAGAAGGTACAGAAAATAAGTAGCATAGACAGTAGATAGAAAATAGATAGGAGGAGGGTAAGAATAGTAGGGGAATACAGAATCTAAAGAACTTGAAACACGTGTCATGAACTAAAGGGGGGGAATGGTGGGGGAGGGGGTGTGCAGGGTGAAGGGGAATGGAGGGGGGAATAGAACAAATGTAATGGCATAATTAATAAAAATATTTTTAAAAAGAATTAAAAAATATTTTCTTAGTAACTTCAAACATTCTAGTTATTGACTGGTCAGATGCCAAGGGCAGCAACTTACCCGGTGCTCTGTACCACCAGGGCACCCAGTTGTAATGTTTCAGAATTAAGTCCTAAATTCAGATAGCAGCATGTTTGTGTGACTAATTACGAAGTCACTTAACCTAGGATCTGAAAGCAGTATAGCAAGCTACCCAACCAACTTGGTTAAAAATAAAGAAAATTGTATATATAGTTTATTAACTATGTCCTATAAATGTCTTATTCTGAGCTTGTGCTTTCTCTGTCATTTAGTACTCTGTGGATTGTGTATTTTCCATGAATAGAATGTTGAGTTCTGAGTCTACAAGATCATTCTAATATATATTGATATAAAATGTAATTAAAGAAGAATACCGACTGTCTAAGTGACAGCATTTGAAACTTCTGCCTATCACTTGACACCTTTACCTCCTTGCTTGCCCATGCATATCCTATCAGTCACAAGTCTTCTTGTATCTGTTTATTCATTTCCATTCCCACTGCTACTACCTCAGTTCAGGCTCTTTTATCTGGTTCACTTCAGTAAACCAACTGGTCAATTGGCTTCCAGGTTTTTTCACATCTGAACCATCCTGCAGACAACCATTCTAATCCCATTGCTTCCCTACTCAAGAACCTCTGATTGCCTCTGAGATCGGGTCCTAACTTTTTAGACTCCTACTAGCCCTACCAATCTTTTTCATCGCTCTCCAACAGAAATCCTCAACCGTAAAGTGACAGACTTATTCTCCCTAAAACACATTTTATGCTGTTGCTCCCAAGTATGGTGCGCTGTAATAAGTTGTAAAATGTTCAATGAAACTTGTTATTATTAAACACTAGAAGTGTTGGGAATGGAATGGATTGCAAGTTATCCCTATTAATATACACTCTTCCTCCTTGGGCTTTTTAACAGGTAAGAAAAGAATAGTTTCAGCTAATGTCCCAGCAGTCTTGAGTATCACACGTATGTCAGATGGGAAAGGGGCTGAGAATCGCTGCCTTAAGGAAAGGTAGATCACATCTGAGTGGTTACATCTAATAATTGATGCTACTTTATCAGTTTCTGAAATCTTGCTCCAGAAGCAACTGAAGGGAGGAAAGTGCTCAGGATTTGAAGTCATAAAACAGATTTGGTGATCCTGGATCAGTGACCTAGCCTCAATTAGCTCATCTGTTAAATAGAGATAAAATCTATTTTCTACTAAAATTGTGAAGATTAACTTGGGGTTTGTAAGACTACTGTTTCATGCTAAGATCTTTGCATGCCTTTGTTCTTGTTTAAGATTCACATTTCAACGCAGGTGTTATCCTCATTTTACAAATGAAAACTTAAGTCTCAGGAACAGTGAGTAACAGTAAGAACGTGGCTAAGCTGGGGTTTGTACCCAAGTGTGAAGTCAAGGCCTCAGGTCTTTCTATGACACCACACTGTCTTTGTATAGGAAAGCATTTTATACAGTTTAAAATAGTCATTAGATGAATTCTTATTACTATATTATCATTATTTCAAGGCAAATATTATACCTTGCTAAAATCTCATTTTAAAAAACTACCATTAAGATGGGATTACCAGCTTAATGAAAATTCAAGTGATATTTAATTTCCAATCAAGACTGTAAAGTGTACAGAGAGGTTTAGAAATTTACCACATATAAAATATAATTAGGAAAATAACTCAAATTTAGAAACTGCATTTGAGTAGAAATGTACTTTAAGAGGAAACCACTTTCCTAATTGTTTTCAACATTGTTCAAAAGTCTTACTTTTTTTTCTTGACTAAATAATCACCCACATCCTCAACATTCTACTCTAATTGATACAAGGGATACAACAATTAAAAGCGAATGTTATAGTGTATGCGGTTATTGCTTCCCATGCAGCATTCTAACTTTCAGGCCTGTTAAATATTATAGGAGTTTTTAAATTTTTCAGTGTAACATGAGATCACTGGTTATTTAAAAGAAAAGAATATTTTATTACTGTAATTGAAAAATAAAAGTTAAAAAAAGAAAAGAACATTTTACTAGTGCAACAAAAGAACAAAAATATCTTTTAAAGTACCTGTCCATTATGATAAATAGATCCTAAAAGATACATTTTAATTGGCCAATAAATTTCATTATAAAAATTAATATCATTATACAAAGATATATACAGGTTGGGGCAAAAGGTTTATATTTGTGAGACCATGAAACACAGATTTTATTCTTGTATTATTATTCATTAATTATTATATTATTTTCCATATGAACAATTGTAAACCTACTTTTGCCTCACCCTTTATATTATTACATCAGAGAACAATCTGTCTTTAAAAAGGCAGTTTTTAATTTTATACAGGTGTTTGAAATGTGAGTTGAGTCTTGCTTTTCAAGCTTAATATGTTTTGTATATGTGATATAACACAACAGAATTATTTCTCAATATGTAAATGTTATTTGAAACTCAACTTACATTTATCTTATAGAATTCATGGTGCGTAGGGGTAAGTTCTGGATTGGGCTGGAAAAATATCTTACATTAAAATATTACCACAGAGCTTAACCATTTCATGTAACTGTGTTACTGTGGAATCTTTGCATAGATTGGTACTTTGAATAATGATAACTCTACCTAGAACAGCTAGAAAATACTCAGATATTTCCCCTCCCCAAGCTTTCATGGGAATCACTGTGGCCTGGAAAGGGGAGATGAGGCATAAGGAACTGAGAGGCCCTGGCCTCTGACCAGTGGAAAATTCCAAGGATGCTGCTCAGTTGGGTGGGGTGGATATCTATTAT